ACAGTGTCCTCGGCGTCCCCAGGACCCCCGTGGGGACATTGAGGACCCCCGGGGGCACTCACAGGACGCGTTTGATGGCCGAGGCCGTGAAGGTGAGGCCCCCGCTCTGCGTCACCCCCGCCAGCAGCCAGGCGGGGTCGGGGTGGCGCCGGCGCCGGAAGTCGTTGAAGTCAAAGTGTTCCACCTCGTAGGAGGAGAACTGGACGAGGGCGAACTGGGGAGGGGGGGGACACACAACGGGGGGTCAGTGGTCAGCGTGGATGGAGTTGACACCCCCGAGGGGACCAATGACCCTCGGGGCGGTCGGTGGTCAGTGTCGATGGAATCAACCCCCCGAGGTGACCGATGACCGTTGGGGGAGGTCAGTGGTCAACATCGATGGCGTTGACCCCCCCCCGAGATGGCCAGTGGCCATTGGGGGAGGTCAGTGGTCAACACTGATGGAGTTGACTCCCCCCGAGGTGACCAATGACCACTGGGGGAGCTCAATGGTCAACATCGATGGAGTTGACCCCCCAAAGTGACCAGTGACCACTGGGGTGGGCAATGGTCAACACTGATGGCGTTGACCCCCCCCGAGGTGACCAATGACCACTGGGGGAGCTCAATGGTCAACATTGATGGAGTTGACCCCCCAAAGTGACCAGTGACCACTGGGGTGGGCAATGGTCAACACCGATGGCGTTGACCCCCCCCGAGGTGACCAATGACCATTGGGGGAGCTCAATGGTCAACATTGATGGAGTTGACCCCCCAAAGTGACCAGTGACCACTGGGGTGGGCAATGGTCAACACTGATGGAGTTGACCCCCCCCGAGGTGACCAATGACCATTGGGGGAGGTCAATGGTCAACATCGATGGAGTTGACCCCCCCAAAGTGACCGGTGACCACTGAGGGGGTCAATGGTCAACGCCAACAGAACCAACACCCCTGAGATGACCCAAATGGCCATTGGGGGGGGTCAATGGTCAACACTGATGGCGTTGACCCCCCGAGGTGACCAATGACCATTGGGGGGGGTCAATGGTCAACGCCAACAGAACCGACCCCCCCGAGGTGACCAATGGCCACCGGGAGGTCGATGGTCAACCCTGATGGACTCAGCCCCCCCCCCGGTTGACCCCCGGTCCCCGTGGCCACCCCGGCCGGGGCGTCACCTGCGTGTCGGTGCCCTGGAAGCGCCGCATGACCTCGGCGATGAAGCCCTTCATGGTGTTGAAGTCGCGGGCGCCGATGCTGCCCGAGCCGTCCACGAGGAACACGATGTCGTGGGAGCGCTTGGGGCACTCTGGGGGGGGTCACGGGGGGTCAGCCGGGCCTGGGGGGGCCCACCCTGCCCCCCCCGGGGACCCCCCGTACCTGGGAGGGCGTCGGGGAGGTTGCGGAGCTGCCGCAGGTCGGGGCCCAGGACGGCGCAGAAGCCGC